GCGGTACTGAGCACACAGTGGATGGTGGGTACTTGGGTGATAGACCCATCCCTACCTGTCCACCTGGAAAACCCCAATTCTTCCTTCAAGGCCACTTCAGATGGTGTTTCCTTCTGGAGCCTTCCCTTATCCAAGAGTTGAGAACAAACTTGCCAAGCCCCTGAACCGCTCTCACCCTGCCTCCCGGAGCATAACCTGAGGCTCCCACAGTCGTGTGTCTCCATCAGTCCCTCAGTGTGCCATCTATGGGCAGGGCCAGGAAAACTGGATGAGTGGCCGGCTGGTGGGCTGTGGGGCAGAGGGCACCCCAGCCCTCTCTGTGGACCATCTGAGGACCTGATACAACTGAAGGGAGCTAGAGACGTGTCCCTGGTGACATGAAGCCAAGGTGGACGAAGATGATGCAGGGTTTGAAACCCTCACCATCAGACTTATAAGCTTGTGGTCCTTCCCTGCCGCATCCTCTGTGGGGGCTCTGGCTGTCCTGCTCCAGGAAACGGTCACATCCCTCCTTTCTCTGCATCCCCACCCCTCCCCCAGATAGGGCAAAGGAAGAGAGAAGCAGAGTTTACTCAAACCCCAGGAGCTAGAACGTGACAGAGAAACGGAGTGTGTAGATGCCAACTCTTCCAGGGTCAGGGAAGCCTGGCAGTTTTCTCAGCCTCAGAAGACTCTGTGGGATGTTCTCATTCTTCTGCCTACCCTTCCACAGGATGCCGACACAGGTGGGGTGAAGAGTGACTCTGGGTCTGTCCTGCATTGCTGGGAAGTTTATGTCAGTGATATGGGTGGACTGGGATGCAGAGGGGAGGCTGGCACTGGGCTGGGTGAGCTCGCTGGGTGCAGAAGGGAGGCTGGTGCCGGGCTGGGTAAGCTCGCCAGGTGCAGAGTCACTCTCGGCAGCTCTGCCCCCACTGGAAAAATTGAAGGGCTGAGTGAAATGATCCTTAATGGGTGCTTTTATTCTAAAGGAAAGTTGGATCAGTTTGCAATTCTCTGCCTGACTGTTACTTGTTCGGGGACCAAGACCGGACAAGTGTAAACACCCCTGTGGGCGGCCTTGGAGCCACGAGCCCAGGCCCAGGCTGCAGAAGCCTCGGGATGGCCAGGCCACAGCCCTTGCTTCGCGGCTGACGAGGATAAGGGCCAAAAGCAAGACGTGGTGTATTCTGGGTCTCCCACGAGCTTGGATTACACCCCGTGAGTAGACTCTGGATCTACCAGAGCCAGAAAGCGCCATATACATAGGCTGTGGCTTTGTTGTCAATTTTCTGCAAGATTTGAGCCAACTTATAGAATCCCTTGAGGATCTTGCATTTGCTCCTAGAGCGAATGCCAACTTCCAATTTCCTATTATACAGAAAGCACACATCTGAGAAGAAATATGCATTTCAGAGAGAAAGCTAATTCAGGGCTTCTAAAAAGTGTTTTGCTTAAAAGAGTAATTATACAGTTCTGGAGCCTTTGAACTTGTGCGGGGTCTTTCATCAGTTATGTGCAATAATACAGTGAGCCGCATGTCCTCTGGGTAGATATTATCACCATCCTTCCACAGCTGGGTGAAGGGAGCCCATCAAGAGGAAGCGATTTGGCAGATGCTGCGGCGGTGAGGAAGCTGGGAGCCTGCGAGCACAGCCCGGGATCCCAGAGGCTCTGCCAGGAGTCTGCCCTGGACGGGACAGTCTCCAAGTCCCCCGTGGTGTGCCTGCCACCCGAATCCCTGGACGCCGTGGCCGGGAGGGAGGGCGTCTGGCATGGGGCAGACAAGGCTCAGTCTACTTTGGCCACTTCCCAGCTGGGGCCTTGGCCACATTACCTACTTTCCCTAAAACTTAGCTCCCCTTTTTGCAAAAACATAGGGGATGATAACCACATGGCATGACAGCAGTGGGGCTTACACAGGAGCTCGCCTGGCCAGGCCTGCACAGCACGGGGACCCACAAGGCCAGTGCCACCTCTGACACCCATTGCCCTTCACCGTGGGCACCCTGTGCTCCTGCCTTCCCCCGGGACTCTCTACCTGGGAGCCTTTCTGAAGGGATCTTCCTCTAGTGACTGTCCTATCTGTGCCCCTGCGGGTCCTCACCCCCCACCTGGTGAAGCACCAACTCACTTCATTGATTCATCAAAGACAAGGCACTAGGGGGTAGTGCCGGCACCATGTGTCCCCAAAGCCAGATGGCCTTTGTAATCCTGATAGAGGCCTTCCAAGACCAGGAGAATGGGAGAGTGCAGGGGCGTCCTGTGGGCTGAGGGCTCATCTCCCAGAGGCAGACTGGGGCCAGAACATTCACAGGGCTTGTCCAGGTCTCAGCGGCCACACAGGCAGTGGTCAGTGGGGAAACGAGAAGGTCTGAGAGACTTTGAACGTCATCTTATCAGAGAACGTGCAGGGCAGACTCCACCTGCCCCAGGCCTGGTGGTGGCTGGGGTCTTAACGGGTACACATGACTGATCCCGGAAAGAGAAAGGTGTAGCTGGACATTAGAGACCTGAGTCCTGTTTCCTCCATCCTCATCATGAACGTATTTCCTTTGGCAGGTCCCTGATACATTTGTTGACAACGTCCCGATCTCAGGGGACAGACTGGACTGACCTGTCTGAGGCCCATCTCTCCCGTCCAGGAAGATGCCCTTGTCTGGGAATGGGTCCAGCCCCTCTGTTTCCCTCTCTACTCTGCTTCATTCCTGGTGTTGGTTGATGATAAGGGATCGGGATCGGTGGCCGACTGCAGGGCTGTCGGGACCAGGAGACACCACCCGGACTTGGAGGTCCCTGTTAGCTCTGAATTGGTAATTCTGGTTCCCACTTTCAAAACACCTTTCTGGGGGCGGGGAGCACAGCTGGGCTGTTGTGCTCCAGGACACCTCATTCTGGTGGTAGATGGCAGGTGTGTGATTCAGCAAAAGCCAGTGGCACAGGGGTTTGGGGAGAAGAGTGAGGCTTTGTTCACATGTCCCCAGCACTCTGACCCTTACATGGCTGTTCCTGCCAAGCATTACATTGTTGTCAGCTGCAGAGGACAGGCAGGTGCTCAAAGATGCTGCCTAGCTGGGCCCACAGCACGGGGTGGACACTGGGGAGAGGACATACTCCTGCCTGCTACAGAGCAGGCTAGATATGAAGGCTCAGACTCCACTGCCTGCCAACTGGCCCCTGGCCCCTCCAGGAGGAGGGACTGGCCATGGGGACAGAAGCGGTACCCGAATACCGTGGTGGCCAGAACCCCGTGTGGTGGGTCCCGCTGGGCGGGTATCTCAGCCCACCTTCACCCGCAGGTCGCGCCCACTGCCTAACACAGAAATCTGCACAATGCGTCCTTGCATGGCTCAGACTGCACACGCCACCCCTTCCCCCAACCGTCGTGTCTGGAATCATCAGTGGTGAGTGTTCTAGAGCTTAGGGGGAAGTGCCTTGGCTCTGGAGTCAGACTGCTCATCCCATCCCGCCTTCCTCTTAGAGCGAGGCTTCCGCCAGCCAGGCACCTCACCTGCTGAGCTTGGTTTCCTTACCTGTAAAGTGGTGAGGCCTAATGAGTGTCATGCCCAACAACCGGGAAGGACACATGGCTATTACGAGCATGTCTGCGTCATTCTGTGCAGGGCCCAGCACTCCCATGCAAGTCCCCGACTTGGAAACCCCTCCGCTTCCAGGCTCTTCTTCTGAAATCATTGTCACTCTCACAGCTGGACAGAAAGATCTTCCCTGGGACATTGTCACTGCCCACGTGATCTGCATCCTTCCCCTTGTCCGTGGAGTCCTAGAACACCTCTCGTCCCTGGTCCCTGCACGACTCCTGACAGGCCGCCCTCTGCGGGTGTCTGTTCACTCGTCCCTACTCTACATCAGCATCATCCACCGCAAACCAGAAGGGCTACAAATACAAGCTCTCACTAATAGCCACATCTCGAAAAGTAAGGAGAAACGAGTGCCATTAATTTTAATACTGTGTATTTTTAACCTAATAAGCCAAAATATGACATTTCAACACACGATCCACACTAACAAATTCTCAAAGATGCAGTGTAGATCCTCTTTCTCTTGCTAAGTCCTTAACACCCACCCCATCACATCCCAATTTGGGCTGGCTGTATTCGGAGCGCCCGCCAGCCACGGCGGATGGCACAGCTCGGGGAGATCAGAATGGATTCTCAGGGGATGATCTCACATAATAGGACCTGCAAGCTTTTTTTTTTTTTCTTTCTTTCTTTTTTTTTTTAAATGTGATGGATTACTCATTAAGTACCTCGTTATACGTTTTCAGGACCGATGGCAATTTGTGCTGCATTTTTACCACTTCAGATATTAGACTTTCAGCACTGATTTTCAGGGATGCTATTAAAAATCAAGTGCACATCCAATCCTTGTGTTTATCTTGTCTGCTTTTGAGAGTCCTGCATTTGGGCTTCAAGCAACGTGACGGGCCTCTTGCATCAGAAGCCTGTTCCCCCTGTTCCTGCGAGCGTTGCCTGAGCCTCTGAAATACCAGACTGCCTGTGGTAACCTCACATTGCACACCTGGGGTAACCTCACATTGTGCTCTGGGTGGCCCCTGCTCCCCAGGGATCTACGCATCCCCACAGAGCAGATGCCACTGACCTCAGCACGGCACCCGTCAGCCCTAAGTGGCAAAGACGACAAGCGTTCAGCTTCAGACTTAAGAATATTTTTGCATCGGTGAGGGGCAGAGCTGGGTTGGGGTGAGTGGGACACCGAAACCCATCTTGCAGAAGAAGCTGCAAATTCCCCTCTGCATGTTTTCAGCTCCATGTACGTTTATTTTAGATCTTGAAGGAAGACACAACAAACTGGATTTTCAAGTCTCCCTAGGGGATTTCAAAGGCAAAAATCCTGAATTGCCCCATAGAGTAGATGTCTGGTTGATTTGTAAATTGTTGGTTATACCAGAGGCATTAAAACACAACTATAAACTCGTGTCAAAAAAAAATAGTATCACATCAAGGGAGACTCTGATATTGGAAACATTCAGTAATCCAGGGCTATGAGATGCTTTGGTACTTTCTTATTGATAAGTAAATTTGCACCACTTAGTCATAAATATTGTCAACACACCCCTTCAGTGAACATCATTTAGGCTTAATCTCTTTGATAATGTTTTTAAAAATACACAGGTCCCTCTTAAACGACACCGGATATTACTGTGTTTGATTGCTGTGTCTGAAGGCTCTAGGCATTTTATAATGAAAGAGTTACGATTTCGAAAATCCCCCAAATTATAAATAGAGTGCCCCACCTCTGCTTAGGCCTTAGAAGGTGAGACAACGGCCTGCCTCAACATACCACCAGGAGCAGCTCCCCCTCAGGCATGGGGGTGAAGAGACAGAGAAGACTATGAGCCCAGAGGTTCCCAAGGAAGACGGTCGGCGTCGCCTGAGAGGAGGCAGACCCCTGGGCTGACCCTAGGGAGGTGCGTTCCAGAGCGGGGGCACCCTGCAGCTTCATGCAGCAACTTAGATCATCCTCAGCTCTCCTCCCACTCCTGGCAGGCTGGCCAGGCAGCACCTGACGCCCCCTCCACCACCACCACCTCTGGGGGAGGTGCCCTGGGGACCACAGGGGACGCACCTCCCCCTCTGGGCATCACTGATGAGTAAGCAGGTTCTTGGCTCCTCCTTGGTGCCTGCAGTGTGCTTCCCTCCTGGGACGGGTCGGGTGGGGTTTCGAAGCTTGCAAAGGTGAAGCTGCTCTGCATAGGGGAAGATACTTCCCTTCCTGCTCTGGGAAGAGCTGGGCCCGCAAGCTGCTAGTTCCTTGCACATCCTGCAGGTCCCCAGGGATTAGAAAATAGGAACAGTGTCCCACCGCATCCCCACTCTTCACCTGTCGCATAAAGACAACTCCAGACTCACCCAGGAGTAGGGGCCTCATCTGAAAGGTGCTTCGAGGGGGGATGTCCTCGCCGCGTGGTGTGCACTGACCGTAGGTCAGCCCCCTCTGGGCCAGGCTCGGGGGTCTCTCCTCTACAGACAGGAGGCAGCTGCGGGAAGGTGGCATGGCCAGGCAGCTGGACAGGACTGCAGGGCAGAGAAAGCTCGGGCAGCCTGTTCTGCAGACAGGACCTTACAGGGGGTAAATGCCAGCTCAGGCTGGGGGAGAGGGAGCCAAGGTCAGGGGCCAAGGGGGCAGAGTGGGGTTAACAAGTATTCTGTTCCTGTTGATCAACAGGACTAGCAGTCTAGCTAATAATTGATAAGGCCAAGGATAGGAATTTGGAGGGCTTGGGGCTGCCCTTGTCCTGGGGGAGCAGGGGGCACCGTGATGCTTCCCATCACATGGGGAGGACTTCCCGCAGGAGCCAATTCCGAGAACACGAGGAGGGGTCTCTCAACCTGGTTGTTCTCCAGGGTCATGGGGCTCCGGGGAAATTCCAGTGTCACCCCCCATCCCGAGGCACCAGTAAGCAAAAAGGCAGGAGGAGTGGGTGTCTGTGAAGACCCTGCTCAAGCCAGGCCTGGCAGATGCTGACAGGCTGCTGCCCCACGTCGGGGGAGAGGGGCAGGTGGACGAGGGGGTTGACTCTGGCCATGCTCCCCTGAGAAGGGGCTCTGAGTAGTGTTCTTGAAGGACAAGAAAGCTGGTCTGATAAAAGTAAGGAAGTAGGAGGTATTAGGCTGAGGAAATACTGTGAACAAAGTATCCCTGGGTACCAGAACCTGCAAGCGAAGGTGAGCTGGTCCAAGCAAAGCCGCTGGTGGGCAGGGCTGATAACCCAGGAGCACATGTTCTCGGCCATGCACCATCAGCCTCACGGGTGGGAGGGAGGGCACGGGGCGACTGGGATCCTAGGCTGGTCCCCTGAGCATCCGCAGGCACAGGCAGCAGCAGCCAGCAGAGCACTTGTCTGGAACAGAACAATGGGGTCAGGCTTCAGAGGATGAGGTAGGAGTATGGCTTTTACCCCACATGCAGCGTGGGGCCACCCCAGCTCCTCAAAATGGAGCATGGAACGAACACACCCAGTGTGTTGGGAACATCAGCCTGACGCACCCAGAAGGTTTAATCTCCCCCCTGCCCTATTTCTCTCTCTAACCAACGGGGAAGGAGTCATAGCTCAGTTCAGGCCACACGTTAAACTGTCAACAGGCAAGCGCTGGATGCCTACGATGCACATGCTCCAGGTTCCTGCAAAGCATTGCTCCCTCCCACCTGGGACCCTGGGGCCCAACTCCTGGCTCCCACCTGCCCCCATCCTTTGGAGCAGCCTGAAGAGCTCCCCACAGCCCCTCAGGCCGGGCCACTGTGACCTGGTCACCTTTCTGCAGGACCAATGAGTGGCCCCAGGAAGGTGCTCAATAGATGGAAGCACAAATTATAACATCCACACCAAACTCAGTTGTCTCTGCGAATGCAGAACATCAAGAGTCAAAGGCAGCCTCTGGCATTTCTTTAGCCATCCAAGACAGCCTGCGGGCCTGGGCAAGACATCAGGGGAGATTTACCGTGGGCCATGGAAACAGCTGTGCACAGGGGATGTCCGCCTGCGAGGGCCAGCCCTGCCCTCCCCACTGGCCACGCTGACACCCTCACTGGGACGCCCAGGCTTGAGGGAGTCCTGGTGTGAGAGGGGCCCTGGGTGCAGCATGGGCTTGAGACACCCACCCTGTTCGTGCTGCCCTGATGCTGGAGGTCTGGGGCTTCTGCCTTCACTTTAAAGAGGGTGAGCACACAGCAGGGAGGATGCAGTAGCACTCCCTGGAACTTGGCGAGGTGGGTTCAGGGCAGCGGAAAGCATGCCGATGAGGGGCTCAGCCCCAGGGGCCGCAAGACCCAGAAGAGCAAGTAGGGAGAGAGCCCAGATTGCACACGGCTTCCTTGTCTGCAAGTCCTGGTGGGAGAGCCTGGGAAGGCTGCTTGGCAGGCCCTGAAGACACCACCTGCCACGGCACATGGGGCAGAGGGTTGGGACATGGGGGGAAAAGGGATAGGCACCCCAGAGCCTGCAAACCACAGAGGGTGGGCGTCCATCATCTGCGGGGAGGGGGAGGGCGTGCTGTGTGAGCCCATCCATGGCAAGTCCTTGGAACCAGGAAACACCCCACCCACATTCGAGTTTTGACTGTGGCCCAAGCTGCAGAACTTTCCACAAAATAGAAAGAGCAGAGGGTTAAAGTCATTGAAGATGGGACACGGGGAGATGAGTGCATTTCAGGACTGAAAACACAGGAGGGACCCATTAGTGGACTTCCCGTCCCTAGAGCCAGTTACCTTCTGCCCCAACTCGGCATCGGGGCCACCCGGGTGGCTGTGAGAATCGCCCATCAGCCCAGCTGCCCCCGGGAGCCAGCGCCCTTCCCTGTGCGGCTGCAGACGCCGCCCGACCCACCCTGCGTCAGGAGGGCTCCGTGGGCAGGCAACTTGCCACATGGCTGCTCAGTCACGTGCCTCTGAAAGTGCTACTTGAGGTCTGCAGTTGACCTCCCAGGACTTTGGCATCAAAATAGATTTTCTTGGGGATGTTTCAGGGGGAGAAGGGAAGGGAATTCAAAATGAACAGCGAAAGCCGTCAGCAGTTGGCCCGCAGCTGCCGAGTGGCCTCTGCCCGTCTTTTTCTCTACTCTCAGCCCCTGGACAGCCTATCTTCTTGCCAAAGGCCTGCCCCCAGGGAGTGGGGCCCCAGCACCTGCCTTCCTGATGACTCCTGGTGGGGATGGCCGTTTCCTGAGGTCCTAGACCAGGACAATTGTCCCTTGGATGCCGGCTTCCTCAGAAGAGGGCTCCGGCCCAGGGCTGTCTGCTCCGGGCATCAGGCCCAGCTTCGTCCTGGAAGGGAGACTCCATGGCCCACAGCCTGGACATGTTGGGGGACTGCACTTACAGAACAGTGACCAAGGCCTCTAAGCTTCACCGGGTGGGATCTCGGTGTCTCCAAGGGGCACTAATCCTGCATCTGGACCAGTCAGTAACTCACCTAGTCCATCAATCTGCCTGGAGTCCTTACAATAAACCAGGCACAGGCTCAGGGCCACCTCCCCTCAAGTATTTACGGTTGGTTCAGGGGTAAGAGAACCAAATACATAAAATATGACTGATATTTTAGATCAAGAAGGTATCCCCTAGTACCTGGCACTGGGAATCGATGCCATGGCTGGGATGGCACCATCAGGAACAGGAGAAGCCACCTGTGGGATGGCACCGATGACCAGTAGCTGCTTCTGACCCCTGCAGGTCTGCCCTCGGAGCAATGCTTGAGGAAGGGAGGGGTGTCCTCCTTTGACTCCTGTCCAGTGGTGCTCATGGCCAGCAAGCAGCAGATCGTGGGGCCCATGGCCTCAGGGTGGACAATCCAACACCGTGACATCATCGAGACTCTAGATGTACCAAGAAAAAGAAAGAAGTTCACAAAAGACTTTAGGCTGGATATTGGCACCGATCCCATAAGAAGGGGACCCTGTGCATTCCCCGTTCTCATGAGGCCAAGCAGAGCTTTCAGCCCCAAACATGGAAGGAAGAGGTTGAAAATCACCTCTGCTGGCAAACCAAGTGTTCCCTGTCACATCCACCCCTAGGGAGGGGACATGACAGGCTGGCAGGTGCATGACAGCCCGCAGCAGCATGTGTACCTGATGCCTGGTTCTTCCCTTCGTGCCTCCTCTCTCTCTGTGGCCTGCTCACCTGCCAGCACCCACATACCAACACCTGCCCTGACCCTACCCCTTTCTTATCTGCAGGACTTTGCTGTGTTGAAGTTTATCTGAGAAAAGTGATTCAGGGCTAATGGCTGATAATGATGGAGCTACTCCCCTCAGCACCCCCAGGGGTCTGCTAGTGTTAACTGGCAGCAGCAATAACATGGCACCTCTGCGCCCTGGGTCAGACCATAGGAGTAAGTGGAGGGGTCTTCCAGAATGCCTCCATTCTTGCTAGGGGGCCTCTTATGGCTGGAAATAGAACCAGTTCTCCGGCTGAATTACGGGCACAGAGGAAGTGCTGTCTCTCTGTGGATCTGAATTCCCTGTTGCAAATGTCCATGGTACTGAGCACATGTGCCGAGTTCAGCGTGGGGCAGGTGTGGTTGGTAAGGAGAGGCGGTGGTGGGAATGCCCGGAGGCCCTATGTGGAGAGACAAACCCCTGAGAGCTGTTTCTAGAAGGTCCTCCCAACCCAAGGCTGCTCTTGTGTGGAAAATATCAACAGAGCCCAGGAAGCCCTTTTGAGATGCCACAGGCACCCCCAAAGGGTGCCATGCTTGAGTTTGTCAGACGGTGGAGGCAGCACCAGGGACAGGAGGGACAGGCTGGGGAGACAGATATAGAGCTGGAAAGGGGGGGGGCAGGGGTGTGGGGGAACTCCCTGGGAGGTGAGGGGCAGCCAGTGGGGCAGCATGGGGCAGGGAGATGAGAGAGCGTGATGCCTCCTCTGGGAACAGCAGGACCAGGCTCTCTGCAGTGGGTGTTCGTGGAGATCCAGAGACCCGGGCCCGGGCGCCAAGTCCACACTGGGGGGGCCTGGCCACATTGCCCCCGAGGTGTCGTCTCCCCTCGGGAGGGCTAATTCCTTCCTCACCTGAAAGGGAAACAATAATCCCTCAAACTACAGTGAGATCTGAGACATCTGAGAGACGCTCTCAGAAGTGCTGCTCCTTGATGCAGAGGGATTTGGGGAGCGGCGGGAGCAAGCAGGTTGAGGTGGGCAGGGGTGCGGGCATCGTGTTGCCTCCACACAAAGTCAGCCCCCTGCTGCTCCCAGCTGCTCCCACTTCCAGGCCGCACACATGCACCAAGCGTGTGGCACATGCATACGTGTAGGCGTATGCAAGAGGCCCCGTGCATCCCGAGGCTCTGAGGCCTTCCCTGGGGCCGCCATGCCAAGTGTGATTGTGAAGGCCTGGAGGGGGCCCTGGCTTCCCCACTCTTGCTAGACGTCACTGCTGTTCCTCCCTGGTGTCCATGTGTGGTCCGACTGGCAGATCGTGAGGTCCCCGGCACGGTGGGGTCTGTGAACGCCCAGGCTCTCAGACACAATCCAGGGGAAGAAAAGAAATGCTCACAGGGTGAGTACTGTGGGGTCCACGCTCTGAGCACCCACAGAGCACAGGCTGTGTGGGAGGCCACCTCTACCCTTGCAGGGGGCCCCAGCCACTGCCCAGAGTCCTCAAGTGGCTGGTGGAAGCTGGAGTGCAGGGGTGGGGGGGGCAGGCACAGATACGGGAGCGCCTGTGGCCCAGCTTGGTCACGAGACAGCAGAGCTTCCTTTCCGTGAGCTTTCTGACCCTTGAGTGTTGGCTGCCCACCCCGACCCTGGTCCCAGGCATCTTGCTCAATGTCTGGTTTATTCCTCCCATGGGATCTGGTCTTGTGCTCACGGCCCCTTTGCCCTGGGGAAGGCAGGCTGGGACTGGGCTTGCTGAGCCCACCTGGCCCAAACCCCCAGAGGATGGCCTGTCTGGACCACAGGGTCTGAAAAGACGAGGTGAGGACCCCCATGTACACAGTGGGCACTCAGCCAGACTCAGTATCAAGTTTGCCGTTACACCTGCCCCATGTGTTCCCTGTGGCGAGCTCGGGGCGACAGTGGGAACAAAGCCAGTCCTGTGCCAGCCTTCCCAAACTTCCATATTGAAATGGGGCTGCCAAGAGGAAGGGGAGGCTGAGCGTGGACATTTGTCACAAGGGTTGCCTAACCTCCGGGCGGGAGCCCCACCGGCTGGCCCGGGCTGCCAGGGCCCATTGCCGAGCCCACGAGGCACAAAGCGCTGCGTGGGCACTCTGGGGACAGAGCTGAGTGTGGCTCGTCCCGACTGGGGCACCAGGGTTGGGGGAGGTAGCGGGAAGCAATGCGCCTTGCCAGCGTGCTCTGTGCAGAGCGGCAGGAGATGGGCAGACAGGCTCTGGTGAGGACAGGTGAGGTGTCCCCAGGTGAGGACAGGAGGCGGCGGGTCCGGGCTGAAGATGTGGCGGCTGAGCCTGCACCCAGGGCCTTGGTGACTCACAACAGGCACAGCTTTGGTGTCAATCCCTCGTCCAAGAGGACTGTAAGCACCCAGAGCCCTGTTGAGCATGTTCTAGTCCATCCCTTGGACAAAAACGCAGGGAGTCTGGGAGAGATGATATGTGACCTGTGAGCACTTTCCTGTGTGTGTGTCATGCTTTGTCACCTTTGTATGCACCCTCCCATCTCCATCCTTCTCGGTGCAGCGACCACATCGGGGTGCCAGGCCCTGACCCCTCAGCACACAACAGAAGCAGAAGGACAGCTCAAAACCCCACCCACCCTGGCCCCCCAGTCTGCTTTCTGTGGCTGCTCTTCCCCCAAAGGTGGGGCCAGGACTTAAATTGTAATGGTCACTCTATTTAGCAATTTTTAAAAATGTTTCTGATTTTGTAATTAAGAAAAAAGTTTGGTTTATTAATTCTTTTAACAATGTTTAGCTTTTGATGTCTTCCTAACTCTGAGAAACAGACTGGGGGTCACTGGAGGGGAGAGGGGTGGGGAGATGGGGTCACTGGGTGATGGGCACAAAGGAGTGCACATGATAGGGTGAACGCTGGTTGTTGTACACAGCTGATGAATTGCTGCACACCGCATCTGAAACTAAGTATGTACTTTATTTTTTTAAGGTTTATTTATTTATTTATTTATTCATGAGAGACACACAGAGAGAGGCAGAGACATAGGTAGAGGGAGAAGCAGGCTCCATGCAGGCAGCCCGACGTGGGACTCCATCCCAGGACCCAGGGATCACGCCCGGAGCCAAAGGCAGATGCTCAACTGCTGAGCCACCCAGGGACCCCTAAGCATGTACTTTATATTGGCTAATTGAGTTTAAATTTTAAAAAAAGGTTTTGCTTTTTCATGACACAAGAAGTTAAATAAAGGTTAGGTTTGGCCACAGGCAATAGGGTCCGTGGTCATCGTATTTAGCAGGCGATCCCGTTGGCGGCCCTGGCTTCGGAGTCTGGGCAAGGTATGCCCACCCTGACCCCCCAGCTGTTGGCTTCCACCCTGTGTGTCTCCGGCAGGCGCCGCGGGGCTCAGACCCCTCCTGAACAAACACACAGTCTGTGGCGAGTCCACACGCTGGTAACACGGCCGAGTGGGGAGAGATCACGCATGGCTGTGAACCCCGGAGCACACAGCCGGTGGGCTCTGGCCCCTGGAGCGTCAGCGCTCACCACACAAATATCACACGTTACAGCAAATGAGCGCACATTCCGCTGACACTTGGCACATTGGTTCTGCTGGACCACCACCCTCCCAGCAACAACCCAGCATTGACTAATCTCAGGGGTCTGAGGTGGGGGTGCAGGGTCGGGGGGTCAGACACTTCTGTAAGGGGCCAGGAGTATGTGCCGGTGCACTGTGGTCTCCGTGGGCCCTGCAGGCTCTGTGGTCTCTGTAGGCTCTGTAACAGGTCCCGACACTGCCACCGTAGCAGAGACATAACACGTAAGTGCACAGTGAGGCTGTATTCCAATAAATATTTATGAAGACAAGCTGGGAACCAGACAGGGCCCTCAGACTGCAGTTTGCTGCTTCTGTGTCTCTTCCTGACTCGGGTCACCGTGGGGTACTGAAAGCCTCCCAGGTGGCTCCATGTCTCCCTTTTACAGAGAGACCACATTTCCCCAAAGGCACAGGAGGTTGTCAAGAGAGACTCCTCTGGGTCTAAGGCACATGTACATCCTCTTCTCTCCTCCTGCCCTGGTTAGTTCATTCAGTGGGAAAGCAGGTCACATTGACAGGGAAGCTGTGTCCTAATGACTGGGGACAAGGAACGTTGTTTATTGCTCTTGGGTGAAGGGGACAAACGCTCTGGCTGGAGGCTCATGCTGCACTCAGCTCCCCAGGAGCCCAGCTTGTCTTAGGGGCTGGGCTGAGTCCCCACATTCATGAGGTCAGGTGAAGTCCTAACCCAGAACTCAGAAGGGGATGGTGTTGGGACCTTTAAAGAGGTGATTTAGGTAAAGTGAGGTCAGAAGGGGGGAGGGGTCCTGGTCCAATCTGATGGGTGTCCTTTTATTTATTTATTTATTTATTTATTTATTTATTTATTTATTTATGATAGGCACACAGTGAGAGAGAGAGAGAGGCAGAGACACAGGCAGAGGGAGAAGCAGGCTCCATGCAGCGGGAGCCCGACGTGGGATTCGATCCCGGATCTCCAGGATCGTGCCCTGGGACAAAGGCAGGCGCTAAACCGCTGCGCCACCCAGGGATCCCTGATGGGGGGGATCAGGGGGGGGTCAGGACACAGAACACCCAGGGGGACGACCGGATAAGGATCCGGGGTGAAGACAGCTGTCCACACCAGGGAGGAGCTGGCCCTGTCCACACCGTCATCTTGGCCTCCTTGCCCCCAGGACGTGAGAAGATAACCTGGCCTTTAGAGCACCCTGTCTGTGGCCCATGGTTACAGCCACCCGTGGACACTGGAACACTGGCCTGCAGTGAGTCGATGGGGCTGAGGACCTTACTCACAGGGAGTGGGGCCAGGGTGGATGCTAACTGGACGGGGCAGTCCTCTTGGTTCCTTCTCAGACCGCGACTCTCTGCTCCCCTGCCCAGCAGGCTCTGAGAAGGCCCATTGGTGTCCTGGGAGACAGGGAGACCCACCCCAGCCCGACTGTGTGTGCAGAGGGTGGGGTAGGAGGGTGGCCCTGGGGCCTGGGAGCTGCCCCCCAGGGCAAGGGGTGGGACCGCGGTGGGAGGCAGAGAGCCCTGTGGGCCCAGTGCAGCTGCCGGGCGCTGCCAAGGGCGAATCCCCACAGGAAGAGCCTCCAGGCGTCAGGCCTGGGCAGCAGGGGCTCCTGCCTGGGGAACCTGATGGCAATAGTCTTTCTCCACTGTGCGCGAGCAGGAGCCGTTCCAGTCCTCCCAGAGGACAGCTCCTAAATTAAAGCAAGTGGTCAGAATGTCCTTGAAGACTTTAATCTTTCTAATTTTTCCTGTATCGTCTAGGATTATTTTCACTCTGAAACGGATCGAGAATGACACACCATTTGGCAGCAATTTCTTTTCCTCTCCACCCCCAGGACACAGCCACAGATTGATGGCATCCCTTTAAGACTCCAACCCGAAATTTTGCTCTTGTGGTTTTCAAAATAAAAACATGTGATCAGTCCTTTTTCTGTAAATTTTTTCTTTCTTTCTTTTCTTTCTTTTCTTTTTTTTTTTTTTTTTTAGCAATCCTAAGAAATATTGTGGTCTGTTGGGTCTGTCCCTGCCTGGAACGGGAAAAGAGGTGGTGAAACAATGTATTTTCCTCTGCAGAAAGAAGGCAGCCAGAGGGAGAATCGGTCTGGCAGGTGCCAAGAGCTCAGAGGTGTGGGGCCGGCAAGGCTCGTCCCTCTGCTATGCAGTGCAGACCTGCAAATGAATAACAATGTTTCCCAAACACTCCATGATGCTCTGTGTGCGTGTGTCAGAAAGACAATGAAGACAGACGTGATGGAGCCTCTGCGCCGTGGCCCCGTGCCAGCCTCAGAACAGCTGTGTGGTGCATAAGAATCACAGCAGCTGTATTTAAACTAGAAATTAAATCTCCTTTTATTTAATGTGCACAGTCTTTTTAGTTATCAAAAAGGAAACATTAGCAATTAGGGAGTGCGTATTTTATGGACGGCGCTGGATCTGCTGGTTTTGTTTGGGATGTCTAAGACAGGAGGAGGACGGGCGGCCGCCAGGTTTCTTGAAAGAGAAGAGCTTTTACTACCTTTCCCTTTGTTAGCAGACAGGGAATTTCAGACATGCCCTCGCCCCCACTTTGAGAGAGGGCTGCGGAAACGGCAGTCCTGTTAGTCCTTGTCGCGTTTGGTGCTGGTTTGGAATGTGGAGGTCACGGGAGAGGAGGGGAGGAAGGAGGAGAGGAGCAGGGAGGGACAGAAAGAGAAGAAAAGGAGAAAGAGACACACATGGAGGCTCGTAAGATGAGTGCCTGCATTCCACAGGCAAGGCCTCCGCCAGGAGGTCCATGAACCACCCAGTGAACTCAGGGTGCCGAGAGATGCTCATCATCTGCTGGTCCTCAGCACGTCCTACCACAGGCCAATAGGAGCCCGTCCAGAAAGGAGAGGCAGGGGTGTGAGGGGACGGTGGACTTAGAAGAAAGGCTGAGGTCCCTCTGTGCACCTGGGCCAGGGTTCTGAACTCTCAAAAGTACCAAGCACATTGACCCCGCCTTCCACATCCTCACCCAGTGCTGGTGCTGATGCTCAGAATACATGATGCGGCCATGGGTCTCTCTTGATCGACGGGGGCGACCCCTGTGGTTTCTCTGGGTTTGTACTTGATGCCGGTTCTCACTCTGCAAATGCGTTCGGGGGTCTCTTTAAAAATTGTGGGAGCAGGTCAGCTCTGTTTTCCACTCTGCTCACAAGACATCAGATCAGAAAAATTGCAGTATTCTAGGTGTTTCAACAATAACAACAACATGAACACAGAAAGCCGCTTGTGCACGCTTCCAGAATGTGAATGGCAGCTGGGCAGCCACCCCAAGATAAGATGAACCACAGCAGGGACAGCGGAGAGACCAGAGTCAGGGTTGGCTGCCAGGAAGGGGAGCTCGGGGAGCCGTGGAAGCAGATGGGATGGCATGTTCCAGCCTCCGCCTTCCTCATGCCATCATCCCATTCTCCAGTTCTGCCAAGCCCTGGCTACACTCCAGGGGTCAGAGGGCCAAGACCCCAGGTAGTGGGGTTCCCTGGGGTGTAGACCGCAGCTGGGCATACAGGACAAGGGATCCAAGGGTAACAGAAGGCAACTGGTGCACAGAAAGGCTCAGAGGGGGTAAACCACATGCCTGCAATCACCAGCAAGCAGGGCCAAGGGGCTCTGATCATCTGAGGCTGTCTCTACCCCCCCCACACATCAGTTGGGGCAAGGACCTCTGTCACCTCAACATCTGAAGACACAATGCTTCCTGGCCTGGTTTCGGCACCTGAGTTGCTCCAGGGCTGGTAGGAGCAGAATGCTCTCATGATGGGGCCAAACTCCTCCTGGAGTCCATGTTTCTTCCCTGGAGGGGCAAGGGGCAGAGGTGGGGGCTGCCTCCCCTCTTCCTGAGAGGGGGAGTACAGAATGTCTCGTTGGATCCATCACAAGTCCCCAGGCCCCCAGGACATCCCACCCTTTCCTCTAGTGACAGACCAGGTCCTAAGGTAACTTCACAGGCAGGAAGGGCTTCAGCCCAGAGTTCCTCGATGTTTAACAACAGAGATGGCTCAGAAGACTTGGGGAAGTCTCATCTTCAGAGACACAGTTCACAGTCACACCCAACATTTAACCCAACAAAGCCACCAGGTCTGCCGCTGGCAGGTCTCCTGATGACGGTCCACTATTTCCCAAAGTCAAACCTGGGCTTGATATTTGCCACCATGAAGACAGTCATAAGAACATGTTCTGTGGGCAGCCCGGGTGGCTCAGGGGTTTAGCACCTCCTTCAGCCCAGGGTGTGATCCTGGAGTCCTGGGATCAAGTCCCACGTCAGTCTCCCTGCATGGAGCCTGCTTCTCCCTCTGCCTGTGTCTCTGCCTCTCTTTCTCTCTCTCTCTCTCTCTCTCTCTCTGTCTGTCTCTCATGAATAAATAAATTTAAAAATCTTAAAAAAATAAAAAAGAACATGCTCTGCACCGAAGCCGGCATCATAGAAAGATTTCCAGAACGTATTGTGAGCAAAGAAGCAGCATTTGAACGAGGCAACAGCTTCTCACATGGATGGATTCTCACTGGGATTATAAACTCTTGTGTGTTTGATAAAACCCCTTCCTCCTCATTGTAGAGCCCTGCCATGTACTGCCACTCAGTGGAATGGGGATCTTTGGGATCATGAAGCTAAACCACATGACTCCATGGACAGCACACAGCCTAAGGCTGTTTGGAAATATCCCAAGGAGGTGGTGAAGGCTGGGCTTAGCTTCAAAAGATGTCCACTTCAGGCAAAAACAAGAAGCAGGAGGTCACGAGGAGCACAGAAGGTTTGGATTCGTGAGGCCCCAGGATTGGGAACTACAAAGTGGTTCCGAATGATAAGCACAGCCTGAAGGGTCCAGGACAGAGGCAGGGGCACCGGAGACCTGATGCCCCAGAAGAAATGAGCATCCCTAGGCAGGGGATGGGGAGAGAGGAGAGCAAGCAGCCCAGGGGAGCGTTGGCCTCTGAGGGGTGGGCCTGAAGGAGGGCGGGACACACCCAGAGTGCTGTGGTGGAACCTCAAAAAAGGGAACTTCCAAAGGAAGGTAAGTAAGTGTAACAAATGCTTCAGGGAAACCCATTGTTCTCTGTTACCTGCCTTGCCCCCTTCACCCCCCCAGTCCCCTTAATCAGACATTCTTTTAACCCTCCAAAACACATGACTTTTTGTGAGCATTTTGTGGGCGAGTTTCTATGAGCACTCAGTTTTCTAGAACCAAGCGGCTTAAAGTAGGACTTGAGCAAGGCAGGTAGGACTGGGTCTCCCACTCCTCCTTCTCAGGGGTTGTTGCTGAAGCTTTCCTTTTCCCATGACCCTCTTCCAATGCAAAGATATCCAGGCAAGGCCATGATGTAAGCGGTGGTCAGTTCCTTGCACATTGCTTTGAGTAGAAAGATTGAAGAATGAAGCATAATCATGGTGTGTTTGCTTTGCTAGCTGAGGGGGGGGGGGCATTACCCACAGATTTGTAGATGGGAAGACTGAGGAGTGTGGGTGGAGGGTGTCTAAAACCAACACCCCTCCTGCCAGAACTGGCCATGCTCACAGAGCTGCCCCCTGTGTTCACCTGTCCCTGAAGCCCAGGGTTTTACACAGCAGTGGACAGGTCACTGACTCCCAGGAGTGATGGATGTGCGTAGAGACCAAACTCCAAAGTACCTTACCAGGCAATCGGGGTTTCAACAGTTCCCATAATCAATATTATTTAGATATTTCTAGAAGCTTTTTCTACAAGTGTGAGACCACATGGGAAGAAATACATTAAACCCTTTTGTGAATTATTTCATTGGAAACCTCTAACTGCATTTCCTACCCAGTCTCTGAGGAAATAGAACATACAGAAGGGTCAGGAGAAGGTTTTGGGGCCCAGCAGACATGCTTCAGTGGAAATCCAGACAGGCTTGGGTCTCACAGGCTGATGGTGCAGATAGATAAAGAAGCCAGAATAGAACGTGTGAGTCCTTCACAGAGTCCTTATCAAGACCACCACCAGTCCCAGCAGTGTGGCCTTACAATGCTGGCCTGCCGTTGGAGTGTTGTATGATGCCAGGGTTAGGTTTCACTGTACGGGCATGATAGGAATACATATTTCCAAAATGACCCGACTACCGACTTTAAAAAATGTAGTCCTAGGGCCCATCACCTTTTTGCAAATCAAATATCTTCACAGTGTCTGTGGTTTTCTGAGTTTACTGAATTCTCCATGTTTCTACTAGCAGTGAGGACATGGTAACTAAGAATAAATCCAGCTCATCTACCTCATTTTATGTCACGTGACCATCTTCAGTGACACAGAGATAACATATTTTTGAGTTTTTGATCCCATAAGTCATTCAATTGACACAATTATAAATAAGATTCAATGAATAGAAAATTGGATCCAGCCTGACAGGACTTCACACCCACCACCCATTGAGCTTGAGCAGCAACACTCTGGAAGGCTATGGGTGGGTGGTGATGGAGCAGAGAAAGGCCAGCCAGGTGCCCACCATTCATGATACAGAGGATTGTGCTTGTAGATTAAATTTAAATTCTGCTTTTAGATTCCACCTACAAAGAAAACCTGTTTTAATATAAACAGACACAGATCTTAATTACATGCCTCCATGCCAATGCTCCCCATCATCTTCCGACCATATGACCTCAGACTGTGTTTCCTGTAGAAGGAAAGTCAGGACAACTCAGTGACACAGGCCCACTATTATAGATTTCTTCCCCTCTTTCCAGCATTTCTGTGTCTGCTGTTTACAGAGTCATTACACTCCCATGCCTTAGCAAGGGCAAGACTTAACCATTAGCAACTCATCAGGATCCCCTCTTTGTATCCAATTTTAAGAGCAAATCACTCATTACAATTACATGTGAACTTTCTCAAGAAAGCCTCTCCATCAACGTG